TTTCCTTTTTTTTTTTTTTTATCTTCCTTCTTTGATTGTTTCTTAACGGGTATAGTACGATTCATATGAATATTTTTATATAAATTATATGCACATAATTTTTCATATGCCGATTCTTAAAATATAATTCATATGAATTTTTCACTCGAATTGCACTCAAAACAATCGTAATAAATAATTTGAGAAACTTTTAATTCTTAATTTTTTTAAAATCACATTTGACTTATATAGATCTCTAAAAAGAAATCCAAATCTTAGTGATAATCATAGGATTGTAATGAGAACGAGAAACCACACACCGTGAGTGCATTCAGAATTTATTAAGAGCATTACAAATAAAAAATCTCACACCATAAGGCGTATATAAGATTTATCTTCGTGGAGAGTGTCAAGGAGTAAATCACAATCCCACACTTTAAAATGTATATAGGACTTGATTTAAATACACTGTATCTATTTAATAACACAGAAAACTAAAACTGTTAGTGAAAAAAAAGACTAAAATATCAAAACATGTATTTACCTTATTGTTTTGAAATATCACTTTTGAGGATGTATATTTTTCTTTTCCTCACGTCACTATCAATGCACACCTGCACCCCTTTTTTTTACCTGCGCACCTTTTGTTTTTGTTTTTGCTTTTTTTTTTTTGTTTTTTATCTTTCTTTCTTTCTTCTCACGTCTCTTGCACCCTTTTTCTTTCTTTCTTTCTTTCACTTCTCTGCACACACGCACATGCGCATACCTGCACCTTTTTTTTTCTTTCTTTCTTTCAGTTCTCTGTACACATGCACTTGTCTTCAGAAAAAATTTTCTTCTGCACACACGCACACACGTTTTTAGATGAAAAGCTATTCGAAAAGTCCCCCTTTTCCTCTGCACTCGCTTGCTTTATATAAAAGAATTCCACGTTATATAAAAGAATTCCGAAAAGTCCCCCTTTTCCCCTTTTCCTCATTTTTTAAACCCTCCACGTTCTGCACCCTATTTTTTTTTACCACAACTCCACGTTTTAGAACGTGTATTTTTTTAAATCCCTCATTTTATTATTATTATTATTATTATTTTGGGCCAGCAGAAAGTTTTATTTTCTCTTTTCATTTTTTTATGGCCCATTTGTGATTCATATTTTTTTACCGCAAACAAATGGTCCTTCAAGCGTGTGCGTGTCATTGATGAACACGTGCGGCGCTTGAGTTCTTTTTTTTTATTCCTTTTTTGTTATTATTATTTTTTCAGTTGCCGTTGGATGTTTATGGGGAGATTTGTTCAGAAAGGGCGCCAGACAATCGTGGTGGAGAGGTTGATTTTGGTACAAAATATCTCCGTTCAGTATCATTAAATGAAATCATTGCCTCTACGGATTCGAAACACTGGGCTATTTTGACCACCACTTGTGAGGTACCTTGTGGAGATTTGAGATACAAATTCTCAAGTGAGACCAAAGCTGTTCAACATCTTCAACAACATGGTCCTATCTTTAATGGGAAATTTCTTGGGGAAATTAACAGCGATGATGATGGGGATTGCAGATTTGTGGTGACAAATGAATTCTACCCGGGGGCTTTTTTACAATTTGAAAGACAAGAAAATGTCAGGAAAATTCAATTTTCGTGGTCGAGCTTGCTTCCAACTTTCTCTAATGGAATGGACTGAGCACATTTTAATACATAACCGCACTATTTTGCGTAGTGCAAACATTTATGGAGCGGTTGATGTTTCTAGGTTCCCCTATGCACTTAATGCTAACGTATAGAGAGCCTTTGTTGAACTATGGGGGCCACAAACTAATACTTTCCATCACATTGGTGGTGAAATGAGAATCTCTTTATATGATTTGAAAGGAATTGGAGGTTTAACCATTCTCAGAATTCCTTATGAAGAATGTATTCCGCCTAATGCTCAATTACTGAATCCTTCCTTGTATTCTCCTACTGTTGTTGAGCTTTTGAGAACCCATTCCAGAATTTGAAAATTTTTAAATGTCACAAAGGTATCTTGGGGAGAATGGATTGAGTATTTTTATCGTGGGGATACACTTCTTCATGGGTTGCTTGGGCCTTCGACTAAACCCAGGCAAACACCTCATAAAGGGAAGAGTTTTTTGAAAGAAAGACCTTCTCTCAAGACCTTGCGTTTGGATGTTTCAGAAGAGCGCATGCTTGCAGCTTTCCTATCTCTTTGGCTAAGCCGGTTTGTTTTTCCCTATCAGAATAGTTACATTAGGCCTGAGACTTTCTACATGGCCACTTTGTTGGCACAAGGAAAGAAAGTGTCGCTTGCACCTTCTGTTTTGGGTTATATCTACCATGCATTGAGTACTTCTGCAACAGATCCACGAGGAATTGGTGTTTTTGAAATTCACTTGCCTATGCATTATGTGATAGGATGGCTAGCTGAATACTTTCCCTGCCTTTATTCAAGTTGGGATGTTGTTGACAATTCCCCTCGGATGCGTAGGGTAGCCAGACTTCCAGTTGATAAGCAAAGTTTAAATGTAGCTAGAAGCACTTTTAGGGGCGAGGACTATGTACGCCATCATCCATTTTCTTTCCTTAAGAGAGAAGACACTCTTTACTTAGATGATAATGATTTATCTGACGACATCTTTGAGCTTTTTGTTTCCTTACGGTCCTCCACATTACCTATAAGAGTGGGAAATAATTTATCCCTCAAAGCATATTCCCCTAATAGATTTGCTCACCAATTTGATTTTGACCAAGGCATGCCTTCAAACAACTTTTACCTCAGTCCCAAACGTGGTTTATCTA